TGGAAATTGTCTTTATATCAATATCGAGCAATAATGTACGCGTTCCTCAGACGACAACTGGAAGAAAAATGCATATCCCTTCAACTCGGTAACACATATAGAATAGAATTTGTTATTTCAGCGTTTATAGCCAAGAAGAAACTTGGTTTACAATGTTTACATTTTTCCTTAACCTCACTCATCCATCCACACCTAACATCTATTTATGACTAGACGCCACTCGCTATCACTGTATCTTTGTATTAATACATATAAATAATAACACATATAAATAATTTAGTTAGATAAATGTCTATGATATATGTAATGATTTTTCCCTGTTAATACTTATGTTTATACAGAAACGACACCGGCCGAACCCGCTATAAGTATGAATATTAGTCCGAAATTTTTGAAAGTTCTACAATTGTCGTTTGAAGTAAAGTACATGGATGAAGACATTACCCTTACTGAGAAGAGAGACAAAATCAAAACGATAGAGGAGAGAATGGGTGTATTATTGTATCATAATGTAATCCAACGTGATGTTCCAACGGATCCAAAATTTGATGATATTGTTGCTTTAGCGACAGCTTATTACAACGTAGGCTTGAAATATGGTATTTATACGGATACTGACGATTTATCTAATGCTGTACAGTGTTTTTCAAGATGTGTGGACATTTTAAAAGAAAAAATATCGGACCGTAAAGCTATATTGACATCTATAGGCGCGCTTAACGAATTGTATTCAGTTCATGAGAAAATGGACAAAAAGACTGATAGCGCATTGAATACACTGAATAGAGCATTGAAAATATATATGACATACACACAGGAGGAGAATTATCCCGATCCCATCTGCATAGCAAGTTTTGTTGGTATTAAAGAAGAAGAATCGAATCCTAAAATTATCTTGAACACTTTACATCATACAACTTTACAGAACTTAAGACTTCAATATCTTATAAGGCCGATAGATAAGCACCTATTTGTACACTACCTGAACAAGGAATTAAACACACGATTGACAGACATAGTATCTAACGAAACAAAATTTGATGAAAAATGTCTTGATATGGCCTTAACTTTATTTGAGCTTTCTAGATACTTTCTAGCAAACGGTCGTTTCACTGAAGCTAAAAGTCACATTGCTATTGGAGATTATGTAATATTCAGACTTACTGCAGAGTTATTGAAAGCGGAAGAGAAGGAAAGGAGAGGAAAGAAAGGAAAGAAAGCTTGCTATGCCATTGCTGTTAATGCTAAATCTTGGGGTTCCTATGGAGTTTCTCTTTTACGTTTCTGGATGGAACAATTCTCACAAAATAAAGGAAATCACAAATCTTCTGAGATACAAGATCTTATGTCAACATTAGAAATAAAATCTGAAAAATCAAATTTAATATTTTCTGACTTGTTAGAAAAAGAATTGGAAGGTATGAATATTCAGTTTACAGAAACATGTATATTAAATTTGGCTGATGCCAAATCGGTTTTTATAAAAACTTTGAGACAATTTGAAAAGGCGAAAGAACATTTTACTCCAGACACTGACACTGTAACTTATGCAAATATAATACTTGAAATTTCGGATACATATAAATATTTAGCAGGTTTTGAAGAACAAAGAGATAATCAAATAAAACTACATAAAAGGCGAGTAAAATTGTTAGAAGACGCTGGTAAGAAATTTCCTACAATAATTAAGGATGATACAGAATTACAAATTTACAAACGGATTTGGTACGAAGTGGTGACTTCATGTTCCATGGTTATGGATTTAATGGTCGAGAAAACGTATTACGACGGATTATTTAAAGAGGTGTCAACAAAAGCCGATCAATATATGAAAATGCTCGCAGAAAATAGTGGTTTTTATTTAAATACGGTTTAGACTTTTTTAATTTTTAATTTTAATTAATTTTTAATTTTAAGATTTATACGTTTCTCATTATTTGTAACTTTATATTATTAGAGAATATTATTTAAATGCATGCCATTAACGTATATGAATTATATAAGGAACATGATTTATGATTAAAAGTTAAAAGAATATGTTTGATTAATTATCTGAATTAAATTTGTCTGAGAATAAATAATTTTTGAATTGAGTCATGTTCCTTAATATTTTCATATGATAGACATATGTGTAAGAATATCATTCCATCATTTATTTACGTATTTTTATAATTGACAATAATATACAATAATATGAGAATATATGTTATGTACATTATGTACAGTTATATATATAAGAATATTTTTATTATATTAAGATCATATATAAATAGTATAATTTATATATACATATATATATATAATCTTAAATGACATAAATTATATAAATATATAATCTCGTATATAAACGAATTGTAAAAATTATCATTGCTCATAGAACTATGTGAAAAGAATATTAAGTAAAGAAATTGGAATTTTTTAGTAATTTACTCTATTTGTTTATTAAGCAATTTGAAGACAAATATATTTTCTATAGATTTAAATGCATTAA